CGAGACCAGGCCCCGTCGCGCCGGGCGCTGCCCAGACCCCCCCTGAGACCAGGGCCCCGTTGCACCGGGCGCCGCCCAGACCCCGGCCGAGACCAGGCCCCGTCGCGCCGGGCGCTGCCCAGACCCTGGCTTATATTGAGGGTCGATCGTGCCCAGTTCCTCACTGATCCCAACCAGGACCAGGGTCATATTGTGCTGGGCGCTGCAGAGACACACAGCACGGGACAGTCCCTGCTTCACAGGACTCACAAGCTAACTGTGGAAGGGGCAGGAGGGGAAACTGAGGCACGGAGAGCCCCCCCCCCGCCCCGAGGTCACCAGCAGAGCCCGGAATAGACCCCCGCTCCTGGCTCACTCGGCTTTCCACCACCAAACCGCATTGTCCGCACCCGCAGCCCCCCCTAGTGATGGCATGGGGAGCTGCACCCCATGCCTGAGAGATTGCGAAACTCAATCGCCCCCTTGTTTCAGAGCAGCCGCCAAGTGAGTCTGTGTCCGCAGAAAGAACAGGAGGCCTTGTGGCACTTTGGAGACGAACACATTTCGAAGAGCATAAGCTTTTGTGGGCTACAGCCCCATGCATTGGGTGCCCCTTGTGTGGCTCCTGCCCTGCCCGGAGCCCGTTAGACTGAACGCACGGTGCCCATGGCTCACGGTACGGCTGCCCCAGCCCCACTCCATCCCTCCCGTGCTACCCGCGCTGCCCCTTCCTCCAGGGGCGTTTGGCACCTGCCCTGGGAGTCTGGCGAGACCCCAGCATGACTAGTGCAGAAAGCGGTTGCTGCCCAGCAGGGGACAAGAGGGCTCACGACAGGCAGAGGGCTGCAGCTGGCCACTGCAGCAGGAGTGGATTCACACCAGCATGTTTCACCCCCTTCCCTGCACCACTGGGCAGCGTCACCATGGTGCTTGCAAACAGCTGCCACGTTCCAGCTCAGAGGTGGATGCATCTCAGTGGTGGGTGAAGTCACTCCACCCAGGAAGGGTTGTCTAGGGGAATGACCTAGTGGTTAGAGCACTAGCCTGGGCCTCAGGACAGGTTCAGGTCCTGTCTCTGCCATAGCTTCCTGGGTGGTCTGGGCCAAGTCTCTGTGTGCTTCAGTCTCCGCATGGGCCATAGTGGGCTAACAGCCCTGCCCTGGCTCCTGGGGGCGCTCTGCAGAGAGGGAGGAGGAGCTGCCTGGATCCCCGGGCAATGGGGGCCAGAGCAGGGCAGGAGCTCCGAGCCCAAACTGAGCATCCAGGGGCATTGCCATGAAGGTGCTAAACGTCAAGGCATCCAGCGGCTCGGGTGAGATCCAGAGCCACACAGAGCGGTCACCAGCACGCTCCCTCCCGGGCTAGCAGGGAGCTGGTCCCAGCACACACGTGTGTGCACGCACACACACGTGTGTGCACACACGCAGCCGTTGTGGGGAGGAAGCAGCAGCTGGGGAAGAAATGAAAGTGAAAGGCGTGTTGCCTGCCTGCTCTGCCAGCCGGAGCCCTGGGGGGGGGTCTGGGCCATGAGACACACGCTTGCCAGCACAGCCAGCCCTGAGCCTAGCAGAGCTAGGACGTGCCTAGGACATCCGAGCCCTGGGGGGGGGGGGTGAAGGGGAGGGGAATGGGCTCTGGGCAGGGACAATTAGGAGCCAGGCCCCCCAGGGGGGAGCAGAAGGTTTAACCCCCACAACCGAGCAGTTAAACCAGCCATCATCGCGCCAGGAAAACATCGGGCGAGGGGTTTGCAGGAAGGCGTGCGGCGCGCTGAGCGTGGGGGCCTGGCGCCCGTGCAGCCAGGCCGTGGGGATGGGTTTATGCCCTGGCGTGTACAGAAAACTGGGCTCAGATCCGGCCGCTCCCTCTCACAGCCGGGCGCTGAGCAGTTACATGGGGAGAGGCCCCTCCCAAGCCAGGCGGCCAGCGGCCAGGAGAAGGCAAGGCTGGCCCAGGAAGAGGGAGGGTGTGATGGGTTGGACCCCCCCCCCTTCTGGAATGTCACCTCACGTACTGGGGTGTCACTGAGCCCCTCCTGCTCCACCAGCCTCGGTTCCCCCTCCCTGCTTTGGGAATTAGGCTCTCTGGCCCCTTGTAGCACACACAGGTAGGGCCACAGCCCGCTGCAGACACAGACTGAAGTCCGCTCTGGGTGAGAGGACTCCCCCAGTTGTCAAGGCTGAATCCCCGCTCTGTCACTCTGAGTGCAGGAAGTGGGGGCCCGCAAGGTTCCAGCTTCTCTCTGACCTTGGCTTGGTAAATGCTGCCACCACCCAAATGCAAAAAAACCCCTTTGAGCCCAGGAAGGCGCACTTGGGAATTCCTCCCTGGGGGGCACCCTCAAGCCCTTTCACCCCCCTCCGGGGAAGAGCTGAGAACGAAAACAAAGGAAATCAGCTATGGCCACCAGCTAATCAAACAACCTGCACAGGCCTCGCAGGACACCAACAGCCCCGGTCCTGGTCTTAAAACAGCTAAATTTTATTAAAAACAAAAAGAAAGAAAATCCATCTGGAACTGAGGCTTTTGCTAGATTTTAAAGAGCAATTCCAAAAATCAAGCACCCAAAGTAGCTTTCTTGGGGGTTCAGCTTAAAGGTTACAAGCAAACAAAAGCATCTGGGCTTAGCACAGAGGAGTCCACAAGCCAAAATAAGAAATAAACCTGATAGCGTCTAACTAAACATTCCCTGTCCCAATTTTTTTCTTTTAGGTATGGAAAATACTTGTTCATACCTGGTTCAACCCTTACACGGCATTTCTGCTTATAGCATCGCTGCTCCGTGTCCCTGCAGCCCAGAGAACAACAGACAAAGGGAAGTTTCTTTCCCAATGTAAAAAGTTCTACCTTCCCATTGGCTCTTTTGGTCAGGGGCCCACTCCCTTTTCTTTTACCTGGGGGCTTGTTAACCCTTGGCTGCTAAAGCAAGCAGAGAACAGGCCGAGTGGGATTTTCCAGCTAACTGGCTGGCTAGTATCCATAAGGGAGCTCACCCACCCTTCATTTATCACACACATGCACACTCCTTTTGGGAGACAAACCCAAAATAATACTGTCTTGTGCTGTATAGAAAAATTGGCACAGCGCAAGTGTAACACCCACAGACCCCAGCCGCGGGGTTGAACCTGGGACCTCTGGAGCTTAGTGCAGGAGGCTCGAGTGCCAGAGCTAAAAGCCAGCTGCCCATTAAGGACATTCACTCATCTCTCTCGCTAGGCCACTAGCTGGGCCAGAACCCCACCCCCAGGAGGTGTGTGCGATACACCAGCTCATGAAAATCCACCCTCTCCCTCAAGGTGACGAGAGATGCACACGCCTTCTTGCCCCCCCAGGTAGAAATTACATCAACTGGGTTTAATAACAAACAAAACCAATGTATTGACTACAAGAGGCAGATTTTAAGTGGTTCAAGGAATAGCAAACAGAACACAGCAAATCACCGAGCAAGTGAAACAAAACACGCAAGCTGAGCTGAACACACTCGATAGGTAGGGTACAAATTAGCAAATTCTCACCCTGAGTGATAAACAGGCTGGCAGAGTCTTAAGGCACAAGCTGCCTTGGCTTTCCCAGGTTTTAAAGATCTTAGCCTGGGGCCAGCACTTCCCACAGTTCAGTTCTTGTTCCTCAGGTGTTTTCAGGTGTGTTGTTGTCAGGAGAGTGAGGCCCTCACATGTTGTCATTGTCCCTCTTTTATATCTCCCCCCACTTGCTGGAAAGCTCTTTTGTCATGACCCCCAGTCTAGAGCTGTCTCGGTGAGGTCTCTATTGCACACAGGTCCTGGGGTGACCCTTGTGCTTGGTGCATTTCCTCAATCAGCCACCAACATCGTTTGGCCTCACCCAGCGTAGCACGTTGGAAATACAGAGACATGGTCAATACTCCCAGCTCCACCTACGAAAATGCTCCATGCACACCCTTTGGATAAACACAGTCAGTAAATCGTAACCTTTCCCATGACATCTCACCAGACCCATCCTGCATAAAGTATCTCTCTGTTATGCCTTATTCATATCATAACCATATTTCGATGAAGAATACGGGGTGTAACGTCACAGACGGTCCCAACTCTGCAGAGCCAGGAGCCAGCATGCTCTGAGAACCAGCCTTTCACAAAGCCAACTGGAGCAAAAGCTGGTCGCCCAGAACCTGGGGGCCCAGCTGGCCGTGAAGGCCGGAGCCCCCCACAGCAGGGGGCAGGCTGGGAGCTGCTCCAAAGGCCATGGGTGACTTGTCTTAGAAAAGGGCTTTTATCCACGCTAGAGGGGTACAGCCCACGGGGTGGCAGGAGGGTTAGTCTCTGTCACTGGCCTGTGTGGCTCCCCCTTGCTGGTTTGGCTCTGGCTCTGGCTCGGCTAGTAACTAAAGTTTGAGTTGGTTTTACCCCGGGCAGGGCTCTGGGGCACCCATTGGGGGGGCCGGGGTGAGCTGGTAACAGGGGGCTGGTTTCACGCATTGGGGGGACGACCCAGAGGGCGACGGTCTGAGTCTCTGGTCGGTCAGAACTCGGGGGGGGGGAATGGAGTTGGGGAGACTCGGTGTGGGGAGCTCCATGCTGTCGCACGGCCGCATAGCGCCAACCACTGGTGTGTCCCCCCTGCCCCCAGGCGTTTGCCCTGGCTGGGGCCGCAGCACAGCCGGTTGGTGGGAGCCCCCAGGGCACTCCCAAGGGCACTGCCCCGTGATGTCTGCGGCAGCCAGAGGTCCAGTGCGGTGTGGGCACACGTCCCCGTGCGGGTTTTCCCTGAGCCGGTGGCAGGGCGGCTGGGGCGGCCGCCAGGGACGGCGAGGGAGCACCGCGCCCAGGGCAGTCCGCTGGCTGAGGGCTCCCTGAGACGTCCCTTATCTCACCCAGCAGACGGCAACGCACACGCTCCCCCCGCGGTGGCTGCACCCTCAGCCCTCCATTCCAGCCAGCACCACCGTCGCCGGGGGTAAGGCTCCCGGGGTCTCGCCCCGGCTCTGGGAGGGCAGCGGGGTCTAGTGGTTAGAGCTGGGGGGGGTGGGGGCTGGGCTGACCTCTAACGAGCGGGGATCAGGAGGGACCTGTCCCCACAGGGTTCCCATCACTGCCTCCTGCGGCCGGTCTGGCAGCGGGGGCTGGAGCAGCTGAGGCTGGGCTCTGCTGCAGACCAGACACTGGGCTAGACGGGCCCTGGGCTGAGCTGCCCTGCGCATCATCTCCCCATTTCCAGCTGCAGCGGCTCAGTCCCCACCGCCCCGCCCCTCCTCGCAGCCCAGGGCGCCCCGGCAAGGCTCCCGTTGGCATCAGTGGGCTTGGACCCGGCCCCACGGTGCCGATGGAAAACCCAAGCCCAGCTCCCCCAGCTCCTGCTCTCTCTGTCCCTCTCTCCTCAGCTATGAGACCCCAGTGGCTCCAGCATCCCTCTCCCGGGGGCTGCCTGACGTGGCTGCTGCTTCTCCTGGTGCTGCCAGGTAAGTGCCCCCCCCGCACCCCCCAGCTCAGGCTGTGTGTCCCCAGGGAAATGCTAGCGGGACCGGCCTGGGCTGGGAGCGCCCCACTGGCAGAGGTGCTGACATCCATTTGTTTTACTCATTGTAAATGAAGGTGCCTTCTTATAGGATCACTAGGAGAGGAGTGGGGCCTAGTGGTTAGAGCAGACAGAGGGGCTAGGAGCCAGGACTCCTGGGTTCTCTCCCCAGCTTTGGGAGGGGAACAGAGTCCATTGGGTAGAGCAGAGGGGCCAGGAGCTAGGACTCCTGGGTTCTCTCCCTGGCTCTGGGAAGGGAGTGCGGTTTGATGTTCTGCTTTCTCAGTTCCACTGGGCTGTGTCCCCCAGAGGTGTAGCCACAGCGTGACAGACCCACTTACCATTTCAGGGGCCGCGCGGGGCTCGTTCGAGGTGAGCGTTTTGCCGGCAGCTCCCGTGGTGGCGTACGGGGGGGCCGTCTGGATAAACTGCAGCACCACGTGCCCGGATCCTGATGTCAGGGGCAGCCTGGAGACCTCGCTCACCAAAACCAACCATAAAAATGGACCTGGGTGGGTGGCCTTTCTCCTCAAAAATATCACGGAGTGGATGTCGGCCTTTCAGTGCCAGTTCACCTGCCGTGGCCGTGTGAAGATGGTGTTTGCAAACATCTCCGCTTACCGTAAGTGCCGCTGGCTCCCAGCTGCAGGGGTCTGGGGCGGCTTTTGTGCCACGGAGACTTTCTGGGTGCAGGGCTGTGCCAGAGAAAGGGGAAACTCGCTGGCAGAAAATAGGGTACGAGCGGTGATCTGGCCCTAGGGCAGGGGACTGGCTGGCTCGGGGGGCAGAGAATGGGACACGGGCCTTTCCCCTCTGGGGCCACTGGCTCCGCTCCATTAAGCCAGGCAGCACCGGCGAGTAGTTACCCTCTGGCGGCCGTTGGGTGGAACGAGTTGGTGGGTCTTAGTCCGGCTCCTGGCAGGGCAGGAATCCACATCCCAGCCCCCTGCCCCACTTAGAGCTCCTGCCGGCCGGTCAGCGAGACTGGGCTTGGTTTTCACCTGTCAATATCCAAGAGTGGGCGTCGGCCCCTCTATATGCTACTTCCCCTGCAAAGGGCAGCCGTGAAGGTGTCGGTTTATCGTAAGTGACTCACAGAACGGGGCTGCTGGCCGGGGTCTGGGGGCAGCTTTCACGGGGTGCATCCCCTGCTCTGTAGGGAGTCCTGGGGTCTCTTATGGGAGAGGCCATGCTCTGACCCCCAGCGGTAGGTGAATCGCCCCTGCCAGGCCCTCCCCAGCTCGGGTCCAATGTGGCGACTGGTGCCCAGGGAAAGTTGCCGGTGACACAGGGCTCCGGCCACCCCCCGAAAGAGACAGGCGACCCCCGGAGGGGTGTGGTGGGAGAGGTCAGTGTCACGGAGTCCCTGGGCGATGCTCTGGAACTGCTCCCCATGAAGCCAGTCAGGACTCTGGGGCAGTCGCCTTTCTGTGAGCAGCCTGTCTTCAGGACACGCAGCTCACACAGCTTCCACCTTCCTGGGTCTGACCTCGGAGCATTCAGCATCCTCTGCCCCTCCGTGCGCTTCCCACAGCGAGTCCGCTCAGGCGGGGCTCCTGGGGAAGCCAGAGGGTCCTGCACCCCAACTCGCAGTCAGACGTGACTCTCAGCCAGCCAGTAACACAGAAGGTTTATTAGACGACAGGAACATGGTCTAAAACAGAGCTTGCAGGTGCAGAGAACGGGACCCCTCAGCTGGGTCCATTTTGGGGGGCAGTGAGCCAGACAACCACGTCTGCACTTCACTCCATGTCCCAGCCAGCCCCAAACTGAAAACCCCCTCCAGCCCCTCCTCCTCTGGGCTTTGTTCCTTTCCGGGCCAGGTGGTCACCTGATTCCTTTGTTCTCCAACCCTTCAGCTCTCACCTTGCAGGGGGGAAGGGCCCAGGCCATCAGTTGCCAGGAAACAGGGTGTCGGCCATTCTCTGTGTCCAGACTCCTGCACACACATGCCCTCTAGGGCACTGCAATGATCATACACCCTTACTCCACCCCCTAGATACTTAAGAACTGCCTAGGGGAAACTGAGGCACCCCCACACTATTCAGAGGAAACATTAAGAACAGTCCCACTTCGTCACATCTCTCCCCCTTCGAGATCGAACTGAGCGGGGTCACTTTAGCAGGTGACCTGGGAAGTTCGAAGCCACCAACGTTCCCATGGATGCCCCAGCATCTCTCCCATTCCTTGGTAGGAGTTACACCAGGCCCTTCCAGTTTCACGCCTCCCTTAGGTCAGGGGTGGTCGATAGCACTCGCAGGCCGATGTGGGAAGGTTTATGCAGCCCATGCCCTTTGGCCACCCCAAGAATGTCTCCCCATTGACCATCACCTTCTGCTCCCACTGGAGGTCCGGGGGCCTGGCCCCAGGAAACTCCACACAGACATATAGGTTGGGGTCAGGAGTGGGAGCCTGTCCACATCCCCAACCATCTGGCTGACGGAGTCTGTGGCCTTGGGACCCAGCAAGGGAGCTAGACACCGGGGCTTTTCCGCAGGGTCCCCTTGGTTCAAATCGCCAGCCTGCTCAAAGGCAGTGAGGTGGGCATCCACACACCCCCCTCCTTAACCAGGGGCAGCAATTTAGTCTCGAGGTTCCCTGCGGAACTGGCCCCCGGGATCTATCCCCACTCACCCCGGGAGGTCCCCTAGGCCTCTCCGCTCCCCCACCGCCAGTTCATGCTGCTGCTGCTTCTGCAGCTCTTTCTCGGCTCTCGCTGTCTCCCACGGTCTCTTGCTCTCTCAGACTCAGCTCCAATCCCGTCCGTCTTGATCCCCGATGGGGAACCCGATCGTGAAGACCCTCGTGAAGACCCTCGTCTGGTCGGGGACAGGAGTCTTGGCGATGCCTGGCTCCCGCTTCAGCTGCTCCCAGATCCTGCTATAGCCCCAGTTGGGGTCAGGAATCTGTTCCTTAGAGCGGTCATCCTCCTCCAGCTGACGATTAACTCTGCTTTGGTGAACTTTCCAATGCTCAACCCTCTCTTTTTGCACAGGGTGACAATGTCCTTCTTAAGGAGACGGTGACAGGCCATCACTCCACTCCTCCCAAGTTGTTGTGGACTCACAGGCCCATGTGTTCTCAGCTCCCCACGGTTTCTAGGGAGAACCCCTAGTGTGCCAGCCCTTCTCGAGGTCACCACCTCTTTGCAGGGTCGAGCTGCAGACTCCTCCGCCCCTGAGACTGCTCACTGCAGTCCCCAGGGGGACCCCATTACTGCACAGTACTTTCGCTGGTCACACACTCCCAGGGGTTAACCGCCCCCGAAACCACTCCTTTCTGAGCCTTCAGCAGGCCTGGTCTCGGCAATCCCCCTTCGTGTTACTGCTCCCCAGTCACTTACTGCAGGAAGCGCCATCCACGGGGTGCAGTACATCCCACCGCTGCCACCAGTTGTCACGGAGTCCCTGGGCGATGCTCTGGAACTGCTCCCCATGAAGCCAGTCAGGACTCTGGGGAGTCGCCTTTCTGTGAGCAGCCTGTCTTCAGGACACGCAGCTCACACAGCTTCCACCTTCCTGGGTCTGACCTCGGGCATTCAGCATCCTCTGCCCCTCCGTGGCTTCCCACAGCGAGTCCGCTCAGGCGGGGCTCCTGGGGAAGCCAGAGGGTCCTGCACCCCAACTTCGCAGTCAGACGTGACTCTCAGCCAGCCAGTAACACAGAAGGTTTATTAGACGACAGGAACATGGTCTAAAACAGAGCTTGCAGGTGCAGAGAACGGGACCCCTCAGCTGGGTCCATTTTGGGGGCAGTGAGCCAGACAACCACGTCTGCACTTCACTCCATGTCCCAGCCAGCCCCAAACTGAAACCCCTCCAGCCCCTCCTCCTCTGGGCTTTGTTCCTTTCCCGGGCCAGGTGGTCACCTGATTCCTTTGTTCTCCAACCCTTCAGCTCTCACCTTGCAGGGGGGGAAGGGCCCAGGCCATCAGTTGCCAGGAAACAGGGTGTCGGCCATTCTCTGTGTCCAGACTCCTGCACACACCTGCCCTCTAGGGCACTGCAATGATCATACACCCTTACTCCACCCCCTAGATACTTAAGAACTGCCTAGGGGAAACTGGAGGCACCCCCACACTATTCAGAGGAAACATTAAGAACAGTCCCACTTCGTCACAGTCAGCCCCCCCGGGGGCGTGGGCGGGAGGTTCTGCCAAGGCCCAGGGAACAAGCGGACCCAGGGAGAAGCAGCGTTTGGCAGATGGCTTTCAGCTGCCTCCTCCCTCGCAGCAGGGCAGGCAGCGGCTGCAGCCTCCGGGCCTGGGCTGCACCTCGCCATGCGACGGTCCCGGCTGCATGTCTCCGGGCGGTGCCGGGGCCCAGCGGATGGCAGCCCCGCAGGGGAGCTGGGCGGCTCCTGTCTGGAGGAGGGAGATAAGAGCTGCCTGAAGGGGAGAGCCCGGGGGCAGTTTGAAACGCAGCCCAGCCGGGAGCAGTTACCGAAATCGGGAGGAGCCACAGCCCGAAGCCAGGGGCTGAGGGGGCTGGGAGCCGGGCTCTTGTCCCCCTGGGGATAGGGCAGGGACGGTCCCCGTGTTGGATTCCTGCCCTCAGGCTGCCCGTGACTCCATGTCTGTCGTTCCAGGGGCGCCGGAGCGGGTGGGGCTGGAGCGGCTCCCGGAGCTGGAGCTGGGCCGGGCCTATAACCTGACGTGCCGGGTTCTGAACGTGGCGCCCGTCAGGCACCTCACCGTGACCCTCCGCCAGGGGGGACGGACCCTGCACACGGAGACCTTCCAGAACCGCACCAGGGCCGCGGCCGACGACGTCACGGTGACCCAGGAGATCACCCCTCGGCGATGGGACCACGGGCAGCAGGCCACCTGCCACGCAGCCCTGGACCTGAGACCACGTGGGCCACTCTTGCAAAGCAGCTCCTCCGCGGTGGAGCTCCAGGAGGCTGGTGAGTTCAGGCTCACGCTGGGCCGTGGGGACCAACCCGGTGCTGGCAGCTCAAGTCGCACATTTAACGGGATGTGGGTCAATTGCTCCTCTCCCCCAACCTCAGAACACTGAACTGAGGGAAGGAGCCAGGCAGGGAATCCCGCTCTAAAGCCAGGGCCAGGCTGGTCTCATCTGGCACGGCCCCGGGTGGCCCCCGGGAGAAGGCTACGTAACCCACGCTAGTGCCCTGCAGCGGTGTCCCCATCCAGGGGGTGCAGCATATACAGAAGTTTACAGGTCTGCTGCAGCTGGTTGCACAAAGCCAGGTGTTTGTCACAGGAAATGTGGGAAAAATTCAGGGTTAGTTTGGTTTTATTTTCATCAAAATGTACGTTTAAAAACAACGCAAACGGAAAAAGTTCCATCTCCGAGAGCGAGTTTTGGCTGAACGTGCCCGAGGCCCAGCCTCCTCTCTGCACTGTCTCACAGCTGGCTTGTGGAAACACCGAACAGCCCCGGCCGAGATCGGGTCCCCCCTTGTGCCGGGCGAAACCCCTGCATGAAAGGGTCAGGTTTTTAAAAGCATTTGGGCACCTAAAGATCCAGACAGGTGCCTAGTGGGATTTTGAAAATTGCCAGAACAGGGAGGCTCCTAACTCCCATTGGTTCTCTGGGAAGGTTGGGCATTGTGCACCTACTAGGTGCCTATCTGCATCTGTAGGTACGGAAATATCTTTACAAGCCAGCCCTAAATCCATTGGAGCGAGGCAGGCTGGGTGCTCAGAGCTGGACTGGCTGCTAGATGGGGACAAGCTCCACGTTGCCTCCGCATGGCCCAGGATCTTCCCTGGCAGCCCGGTGGCAGCGAGACTCCTCCTGAATTCCTGGGGTTGTTCTCGGGCCCGACTCGGGGGCCGCAGTGAAAACACCGGGGCCGTATTTTCATTTTGTTTCTTTTACCAACATCGTTTACCGACCCTGCGAGGGACATTCAGGGGTGTTTTGCAGAGAGGGAATTTAACCCTTTTCTGTCTCCTTTTCCAGAGAGCCCCACGGCTAAAATCATCGCAATCACGGCCATCACCACCGTACTGGCCATGCTGCTGGGAATTCTGGCCTGGGGCCTGGCTCGGCGGGGCAGGACCCGGAGAGAGGCAGGGCCGGAGCCTGGGGAAGCAGCGCCAAGCTGGACGGATTTCGAGATGGCCCAGGCCAGCGCAGAAGATGCCCCAGCCGAGGGAGGCAGCTTGAATTCTGCTGAGGACGCTTCCCCATAGAGCAGACGGCGGAGATCAGCCAGGCAGTGGGCACGGAGCTCAGCCAGGCAGGTGCCAAGCGACGTCGCTCACACAGGAGAGCACCGAGACTGTGGGACGGGGGCCACGTGCTGCGCAGGGCAGGTCGCATGCTTCTAGTTCATGTTGCCAGGTGCTCCCCGGTTTCCCATGTGCCTACCTTTGCCAGACTTCAACCTTTCAGGCTGAAATGTGCCGGGCCAGGTCTGCTCCGGGCTGGGCTTTGTGTTGAAAGTCTCTGTAGAAATGTTTGAAAGGGAGACTAGGCAGAAATACATCGCTTGGGCTGTGCTAAAAAACCTTCTTGCAGCTATTCAGTGGAGAAGCGCTCGCCCTCGGGACGGACCTTGTGCTGTGGCTGTGAAAAACCACCCACGTCTGGCCTGGTTCGGAGCCGTCGCGCACACGCTTAGCAGGGCGCTGCGGGCTCATGCGGCTCCTGTCACAGCCTCAACGGGCAGGCCATGGGCATTGGGGATCTAACGCCTGGTGAGGAGCTGCAGGGGATCCAGTGGCTCTGGGCAGTGGTGTTGGTTCAGGTGAATTTCCCATGTCTGGGGAGCGGCTCTGGCTGGCCGAGCATGGGCGGCTGCTCTGGCAGAGGATGGCACCTGGTATGGCGCGTGGTGAGGAACGTCCCAGGGCACCGAGTCAGCATGTCACCCATTGTGGGGGAGAAAGGCTGGCGAATGCCTGGAAGGGGCATTGGGGAGAGCTGGCATCACGGCGGCCCTGGAGCACCTGCCCTTCTGCCAGGACAGCTGTGGGTAGAGGGTGGCATCCACCGGCGGACACTGGAGAGAACTCAGCTCGTTCCATGCCAGGGCCATAGCCAGGGCTCACACGGGAGGCAGCGTGGCCTAGTGGGTGCGGAGCTGGGCTGGGACTCGAGAGCCATGGCATAGTCCTGGCTTGGTCCCACGCCTGCTGGGGGACCTCAGGCAAGGCACGTCCCTGCCCACCCATGGGCTGTTTAGCCTGGGAACTCTTTGGGGCAGGGGCTGTCTCGTCTCGCTCTGTGTCTGTAGAGGACCCTGGCATGGAGCAGGGCTGGCAGCATATAGTCCCGTGCCAGGTGCTTTCCCGTGCCCCTTGGCTGTCTTCCCAGCTGATCCATTCAGTGAACTTCCTCCCTTGCTCCTCATTGTCCATAAGTCTGGGAAGGAACAGCCCAGCGCAGGCAGCCAAAGCAGAGCCCAGCCCTTCCCGTGGCTGATTAGAGGTTCAGGGCTGAAGCCGGCTGCTCAGGGAGGGGGCGCATCGTAGCTGAGCCTCTGGGGGGGACAAGCGATGCAACCATGTTGTCTGCAAACATCAGGAAGATGGAAACTCCAGGAACCTTCGCCAGACTCGCCCAAGGGACAGCGCTCCTGGCCTCAGCCAGACGGGATCTGGGGACCAAGGCACACGCCCAGTGGTGCCATGGACACTTCCCAGCTTAGGCTGCTCAGGGCCTGACTCCCAAGGGCCGGCACTGGGGCTGGCCAGAAACAAGAATTCCATTTCGCCAAAACTGTCACAGTTTCCAAATTGTGCTTCCGTCTGCCCTGGCACGGCAAGGAGCCCGCACGAAAGCTGCATGAACCAACACGAGAGAGAATCAGACAGAGAAGTGTGTAGGGGGTGGACGGACAGACAGAGGGGCGCATAGGGGGATAGGCAGACAGACAGGTATGTAGGGGGAAGGACGGACAGACAGGTGTATAGGTAGATGGATGGTGTCATGGAGTCCCCGGGCGATGCTCTGGAACGGCTCCCCACAAAGCCAGGCAGGACTCTGGGGAGCCTCCTCTCTGGGAGCAGCCTGTCTGCAGGACACACAGCTCACCCGGATCCACCTTCCTGGGTCTGACCTCGGAGCATTCAGCCTCCTCTGCCCCTCCGTGCGCTTCCCCCAGCGAGTCTGCTCAGGCGGGGTCCTGGGGGGGCCAGAGGGTCCTGCCCCCCAACTCCGCAGTCAGACATGACTCTCCGCCAGCCGGGGAAACAGGAGGTTTATTAGACGACAGGGACATGGTCTAACAGAGAGCTTGTAGGTGCAGAGAACAGGACCCCTCAGCTGGGTCCATTTTGGGGGGCAGTGAGCCAGACAACCACGTCTGCCCTTCACTCCATGTTTCCAGCCAGCCCCAAACTGAAACTCCCTCCAGCCCCCCCTCCTCTGGGCTTTGTCCCTTTCCCGGGCCAGGAGGTCACCGGATTCCTTTGTTCTCCAACCTTTAGCTCTCACCTCGCAGGGGGGAAATGCCCAGGCCATCAGTGGCCAGGAAACAGGGTGTTGGCCATTCTCTGTGTCCAGACCCCTGCACACACCTGCCCTCTAGGGATCTGCAATGATCATACACCCTTACCTCACCCCCTAGATACTTAAGAACTGCATAGGGGAAACTGAGGCACCCCCACACTATTCAGAGGAAACATTAAGAACAGTCCCACTTCGTCACAGATGGACAGTCATGCAGAGGGACAGACAGATAGAGAGGGGGATGGACAGACAGTCCAGTGCATAGGGGGATGGGTGGACAGAGGGGAGCGTAGGGGGATGGATAGAGAGTTCTTTGAGGTGGTCAATAAACATGTGGACAAGGGGGATCCAATGGACATAGTATACTTAGATTTCCAGAACGCCTTTGACAAGGTCCCTCACCAAAGGCTCTTAGGTAAATTAAGTTGTCATGGGATAAGATGGAAGATCCTGTCATGGATTGAGAACTGGTTAAAGAACAGGGAACAAAGGGTAGGAATAAACGGTAAATTTTCAGAATGGAGAGGGGTAACTAGTGGTGTTCCCCAAGGGCCAGTCCTAGGACCAATCCTATTCAACCTATTCATAAATGATCTGGAGAAAGGGGTAAACAGCGAGGTGGCAAAGTTTGCAGATGATACTAAACTGCTCAAGATAGTTAAGACCAAAGCAGACTGTGAAGAACTTCAAAAAGATCTCACAAAACTAAAAAAAGCAGGACTTGTGGCACCTTAGAGACTAACAAATTTATTTGAGCATAAGCTTCCACTGAATGCATCCGATGAAGTGAGCTGTAGCCCACGAAAGCTTATGCTCAAATAAATTTGTTACTCTCTAAAGTGCCACAAGTCCTCCTTTTCTTTTTGCGGATACAGACTCACATGGCTGCTCCTCTGAAACCTGTCACAAAACTAAGTGACTGGGCAACAACATGGCAAATGAAATTTAATGTGGATAAATGTCAAGTAACGCACACTGGAAAAAATAACCCCAATTATACATACAATGTGATGGGGGCTAATTTAGCTACAACTAATCAGGAGAAGGATCTTGGAGTCATCATGGATAGTTCTCTGAAGACGTCCATGCAGTGTGCAGAAGCAGTCAAAAAAGCAAACAGGATGTTAGGAATCATTAAAAAAGGGATAGAGAATAAGACAGAGAATATCTTATTGCCTTTGTATAAATCCATGGAACACCCACATCTTGAATACTGCGTACAGATGTGGTCCCCTCGTCTCAGAAAAGATAGACTGGCATTAGAAAAGGTTCAGAAAAGGGCAACTAAAATGATTCGGGGTTTGGAACGGGTCCCATATGAGGAGAGATTAAAGAGGCTAGGACTTTTCAGCTTGGAAAAGAGGAGACTAAGGGGGGTATGATAGAGGTCTATAAAATCATGAGTGGCATGGAGAAAGTGAATAAGGAAAAGTTATTTACTTGTTCCCATAATATAAGAACTAGGGGCCACCAAATGAAATTAATGGGCAGCAGGTTTAAAACAAATAAAAGGATGTTCTTCTTCACTCAGCACACAGTCAACCTATGGACCTCCTTGCCTGAGGAGGTTGTGAAGGTGAGGGCTATAACAGGGTTTAAAAGAGAACTGGATAAATTCATGGAGGTTAAGTCCATTAATGGCTATTAGCCAGGACGGGTAAGGAAGGGTGTCCCTCGCCCCTGTTTGTCAGAGGGTGGAGATGAATGGCAGGAGAGAGATCACTGATCATTACCTGTTAGGTTCATTCCCTCTGGGGCACCTGGAACTGGCCACTGTCGGTAGACAGGATACTGGGCTGGATGGACCTTTGGTCTGACCCAGTCTGGCCACTCTTATGTTCTTAGGGGAATAGGGGGACGGACGGACTGCCAGAGGGTGGGTGTAGGGGGATGGACAGAGGGACAAATGGGGTGTAGGGGGACAGACAGGGCCGTGAGGGGACCGAGGGGGGTGTCAGGGTGGGTAGGCTGGGCTGAACAAGGACTGACTGAATAGCTTAGCTCTCAGTGCTGCACACCCCACCCTGCCCTCTTCCACTTCCCTCCCTGCCCATTGCCCACAGAAACCTGCACGCCAGAGTGACCCCCCCTGCCAGCCGGGGACAGGAGCTTTCCCAACCCAGCGCCCCCCTGCCCATGCTGGAGGAGGCCGCCTGGTGCCAGAGCAGCCCGGAGCCTCCATCGAGCAGGGCTCTGGGAACACCCGGCCCAGCTTTCCCTGAGCATCCTCATGCTGGAGTCAGAGCTGGTGCCTTGCGGAGGGCTGGGGTTCCCGTGGGACTGGCCCGGGGAGCCCCATTTGCTGATGGGCTCCGCACTAGGGTCAGGGACCAGCACTCGGCCAGGACTGGTCCTAGGGCAGCGGTTCTCAGACTTTTGTCCTGGTGACCCTTCCACACAGCAAGCCCCTGAGTGCGACCCCCCCGGTACGTTAAAAACACTTTTTTATATTTAACACCATTATAAATACTGGAGGCGAAGCGGGGCTTGGGGTGGAGGTTGATCGCTCGCGACCCCCCATGTAATAACCTCACAACCCCCTGAGGGGTCCCGACCCCCAGCTTGAGAATCCCTGTCCTAGGAGCTCAGCCGGGGGCAGGCAATGTTGAGACAGGCCCCGTTCCATCCTTTGCAAGCAGCTGTCGGCTCCCAACAACCCAAATGGGAGCTGCCCTCCTTGGGCGACCCAGCTGGCCCCTGTTCCACTGACTCCGAGGAGAGTCCTGCGGTGGGCTAGGGCAGTGGGGCAGGGAGAGCCAGCACAACAGGGCCCTGGTCTCGGTCGGGGTCTGGGCAGCGCTTGGCACGACGGGGCCCTGGTCTCGGGTGGGGTCTGGGCGGCGCCCGGCCCGACGGGGCCCTGGTCTCGGTTGAGGTCTGGGCAGCGCCCGGCGCGACGGGGCCCTGGTCTTGGTTGAGGTCTGGGCAGCGCCCGGCGCGACGGGGCCCTGGTCTCGGTTGGGGTCTGGGCAGCGCCTGGCGCAACGGGGCCCTGATCTCGGGTGGGGTCTAGAGGCGCCCGGCACGACAGGGCCCTGGTTTTGGTTGGGGTCTGGAGGTGCCCAGCGCGACTGGGCCCTGATCTCGGGTGGGGTCTGGGCGGCGCCCGGCACGACGGGGCCCTGATCTCGGGTGGGGTCTGGGCAGCGCCTGGCATGACGGGGCCCTGGTCTCGGTCGGGGTCTGGGCAGCGCCTGGCACGACGGGGCCCTGGTCTCGGGTGGGGTCTGGGCGGCACCCAGAACGACGGGGCCCTGGTCTCGGTCGGGGTCTGGGCAGCGCCTGGCACGACGGGGCCCTGGTCTCGGTCTGGGCGGCGCCTGGCGAGACGGGGCCCTGGTCTCGGTCGGGGTCTGGGCAGCGCCTGGCACGACGGGGCCCTGGTCTCGGTCTGGGCGGCGCCCGGCGAGACGGGGCCCTGGTCTCGGTTGGGGTCTGGGCAGCGCCCGGCGCGACGGGGCCCTAGTCTCGGTTGGGGCCTGGGCAGCGCCCGGCGCGACGGGGCCCTGGTCTCGGTCGGGGTCTGGGCAGCACCTGGCACGACGGGGCCCTGGTCTCGGGTGGGGTCTGGGCAGCGCCTGGCGCGACGGGGCCCTGATCTCGGCCGGGGTCTGGGCAGCGCCTGGCGCGACGGGGCCCTGGTCTCGGCCGGGGTCTGGGCGGCGCCTGGCACGACGGGGCCCTGGTCTCGGCCGGGGTCTGGGCAGCGCCCGGCACGACGGGGCCCTGGTCTCGGCCGGGGTCTCGGCAGCGCCCAGCACGACGGGGCCCTGGTCTCGGTCGGGGTCTGGGCAGCGCCTGGCACGACGGGGCCCTGGTCTCGGTCGGGGTCTGGGCAGCGCCTGGCGCGACGGGGCCCTGGTCTCGGTTGGGGTCTGGGCAGCGCCTGGCACGACGGGGCCCTGGTCTCGGTCGGGGTCTCGGCAGCGCCTGGCGCGACGGGGCCCTGGTCTCGGCCGGGGTCTGGGCAGCGCCTGGCACGACGGGGCCCTGGTCTCGGCCGGGGTCTGGGCAGCGCCTGGCACGACGGGGCCCTGGTCTCGGCCGGGGTCTGGGCAGCGCCCGGCACGACGGGGCCCTGGTCTCGGTCAGGGTCTCGGCAGCGCCCGGCACGACGGGGCCCTGGTCTCGGTCGGGGCCCGGGGAGCGCCCGGCACGACGGGGCCCTGGTCTCGGTCGGGGTCTGGGCAGCGCCTGGCGCGACGGGGCCCTGGTCTCGGTCGGGGTCTGGGCAGCGCCTGGCACGACGGGGCCCTGGTCTCGGTCAGGGTCTCGGCAGCGCCTGGCACGACGGGGCCCTGGTCTCGGTCGGGGTCTGGGCGGCGCCTGGCACGACGGGGTCCGGTTTCACTTGGAGCCCAGGGCCCTGAGCCCAGCGGTGCCCGGCTCTTATCAGGGGCGTTCCGCCGGCCGCTGGCTGCAGGAAGCGGAGGAAACCCGGACTCAGGCGCCGGCCAGTTCTCGGGAACTCGGGGGCGGGCGCCCGGGCTCCTGCGCCGCGCCGCGCCGCGCTCCCTCCTCCGCCCGAGCCCGAGCCCGGCGCGGCGCGTCCTCAGCCATGCGGCCCCGGCGGCTCCGGCCCCCGGCTCCCGGGCGCTGCCTGCCCCTGCTGCTGCTCCTGGCGCTCCCAGGTACGTCCCCGGATCGGGGCCCGGCGCGATGCCGGCCGGGAGGGGCTGCGAGCGCCGGGCAGCCGGGCGGGGTCGGGACCGGCCCTCGGGCGGGGTCCCCGCCACGGCCTCTTCCCCCCACCCCGCCGCCCGTGCCTGGCCGGCGGGGGGCCCGAGGGGGAGCCAGTCCGGCCGCCGGGGAGGATCGGGGGGGCTGGTTCGGCTTCTCCCGCTAGGTTGTGCGGGAGGTGGTGGGCACCAGTGGTTAGAGGGGGCGGGGTCTGGGAGCCAGGACTCCTGGGTTCTCTCCCCAGCTCGGGAAGGGAAGTGGGGTCTAGCAGTTGGGCGGGGGGACCCCTGGGTTGTAGCTCGGGCTCTGGGAGGCAGGTGGGGGTAGTGATGGGGTCACTGGGAGTCAGGACTCTGAGCTACCCTAGAACTTCAGGCAAGTCCCTTCACTTCTCCATGCCTCAGTTTCCCTCCTGGTGAAATGGGAACAATAATGTTTGCTTTGGGATCTTCGGGTGGAGGGCGCTGGACACCCACGGCGCCGTTACTGTCCCGGGGCTGAGCGTGGATTCTAAACACCGGGAGATGCTGCCCTGACCCTGGTGTCCTCTGGCACCCGGGAGCTTCTGCCCCTTCCTCCGAGGCTCAGCGCGACGGGCCCGTTTGCCATTTCAGGGGCTGCAGAAGAACCCTTTAACGTGAGCGTTCGGCCGGAAGACTCCGTGGTGGAGCACGGCGGCGCCATCTGGTTAAACTGCAGCACCACGTGCCAGGATCCCGGTGCCAGGGGCGGCCTGGAGACCTCGCTCACCAAAGCCCAAGAAAAACGAGGTCCCCGGTGGGAGGCCAGAGAGCTGGTTAATATCTGGGAGTGGGTGTCGGCCCCCCAGTGCTATTTCTTCTGCTACGGAAAAGTAACTCGGGCATCTGCCCACATCACCACTTACCGTAAGCGACTCACGGAAGGAGGCTGCTGGGGGCTGGTAATGGGGGCTCTGTGGGGTTGACCCATTCCTGTGTGGGGAAGCCCAGGTTGTTTCCTGGGGAGGCAGGAGATGAGCCATCAGAGTAGAGACCCCCCCACCCCGGAGCAGACGGGATCATTGTGTAGTTCTGGGGAAAGAAGCTGGATCGGCTTCTCCAGAGAGTCCGGACTCAGTTTAGCCTCATAGCAGCACAAACTTCCCCTGAGTCCACAAACACCATCCCTACCCAGGGGCTTGCCCTTCACTGATGGGACCCCCCCCCCGCCCAGGGTTGGTCTCAGAGGCTCATGCTGCCCTCAGCCTGTCTGTAGAGGTTACCGATGAGATGCCTGCATTGTGCCTGGCATGAAGATGTTTTGCGATGTGGGGACCCGTTCAGTTGGGAACCCACACAGTCCCACCTTTCCCCTGCTCCTGGAATGCCCTATGGGGCCAGCACAAAGATCCTATGTCCATCAGCTGGCGTGGGGGTGGGATCAGGGCAGGGGGATGCAGCCAGCTGCAGGTGCTGTCTCTTGAACAGTGCAGGCAATGCAGTGGGACAGGCTGCAGAATTCGGCCACGCCCTGGAGGATCCCAGCGCAGCCACCATGTTGGATTCCCTGTCCACTTCAGCTCCCTGGTGAAAGGCTGTCTGTGTCTTTGTGTCACTCCAGGGGTGCCGGAGCGGGTGGGGCTGGAGCGGATCCCGGAGCTGGAGCGGGGCCGGGCCTATAACCTGACGTGCCGGGTTCTGAACGTGGCGCCCGTCAGGCACCTCACCGTGACCCTCCGCCAGGGGGGACGGACCCTGCACACGGAGACCTTCCAGAACCGCACCAGGGCCGCGGCCGACAACGTCACGGTGACCCACGAGATCATCCCTCAGCGACAGGACCACGGGCAGGAGGTCACCTGCCACTCAGCGCTGGACCTGAGACCACTCGGGCAGCTCTTCCAAAACTCCTCCTCTGCGGTGGAGCTCAGGGTTTTTGGTGAGTGCCGATTCACTAGCCCCAGCCTCTCGGGCAGGCCCTTCCACGGGTGCAGAGCGGGTGCCCAGTGCCGACGCTCTGATCAGGAATGGGGCCCAAACCACAGGGAAACAAGAACCAGACCTTTGGCTCGCCTGCCTCTCGTCTGAGCCACCCGTTCATGCTCTGACAGCTGCCGGGTCTGCGGGAATTATAATCCCGTTAGCGGGAGTCTATTAATAACTCTGTGATGAATCCCCCAGCCGGCTCCCTGCCTTTGTCTCCAAGCTCCGGGCTATGGTGGAGCTGCAGTGGTTGCTTGACTCGCCGCTTTTCTCCTGCTGCTGGGGCGAGCGATCTGTGAGCTCACCTGGGTGTTTTCAATCCGCTACAAACCCTCCTCTCAGGGGAGAGAGGAAACACCAGTGCCAGCCCGTGGGCAGGACAAGGCGGTCACAGGAGGTGTCATTCACCACCCTCTGCCCTGCTCAGGGGTGCTGAGGAGAACAGGCCACGCTGGGTCAGAGTGAGGGTCCATCCAGCCCAGGGTCCTGTCTCTGACAGGGTCCGGTGCCAGGTGCTTCAGAGGGAATGAACAGAACAGGGCAATTATCAAATAATCCCTCCCGTCATCCCGTCCCAGCTTCTGGCAGCTGGAGGTTTAGGGACACCCAGAGCATGGGGTTGCATCCCTGCCCATCCTGGCTGACAGTCACTGTTGGACCCATCCCGCAGGAATTACCTAATTTTGTTTTGAATCCTGTTATTCTTTTGGCCTTCACAACATCCCCTGGCAGTGAGTTCCACAGATTGCCTGTGCGCTGTGCCAAGTGGAACTTCCCTATGTTTGTTTTTAATCCTGCTGCCTAGTAATGTCATTGGGTGGCCCCCGGCTCGTGTGTTACGTGACGGGCTGGGAGCTCTCGAGACAGCCAGCTATAGAGGAGGGATCAGGTTTTCTCAATGGGACGATGCTGGAATTGGAAGCTCTCAGGCCTCGGTCCTGATCCCACTGCAGATCTAAGGGCAGATCCTCAGCTGTTCTGTGACTGTCGGGCCCCTGGGTGGCCTCCCAAAATCACTAGTGGTGTTTGAAAAGCTTGGCCTTAATGTGAAAGTGAGGCAGCGGTGGCAGGGTGGGAGGGGGCATCTGGGAGCCAGGACTCCTGGGTTCTATCCCTGGCTCTGGAAGGCAGTGGGGTTAGAGTGGGGGGAGCTGGGAGTCAGGACTCCTGGGCTCTCTCTAGGAGGTGTAAAGAAAAGGAGGACTTGTGGCACCTTAGAGACTAACCAATTTATTTGAGCATGAGCTTTCGTGAGCTACAGATCTGATGAAGTGAGCTGTAGCTCACGAAAGCTCATGCTCAAATAAATTGGTTAGTCTCGAGGGGCCACAAGTACTCCTTTTCTTTTTGCGAATACAGACTAATACGGCTGTTCCTCTGAAATCTAGGAGGTGAGTGGAGGCTAGAGGTTAAAGCAGGGCAGGAACTGGGTATCAGGACTCCTGGGTTCAGTTCCCTGCTCTGCAACTCGCTGACTGCGTGACCTGGGGTAGGTCATTTCCCCTCTCTGCACCTCCCATTTCCGCACCCGCCTCCAGGGGCAGGGGCAGGGGCAGGGGCGAGGTGAGAATGGCAGAAGGTTTGTAAAACATGGTGAGGCCCTGTGTCATTGTGTCCGGATTTGGAACTGGAGCCTGGGAGGAAGTGAGACGCTCTCCCAACAGACATTGGCTGCGTTACTACTGGGTGTATTACGGTAGTGCCTGGAGACCCCGACCACGATCGGGGCCCGCACGGGGGTGGGCGTGGCCCAGACCTCCACCAAGATCGGGGCCCCCACGGGGGCAGGTGCTTCCCAAACCTGGAGAGCCCTTACCCCAAGGATTCACAGTCTCACTAGACAGAGGGTGGCAGGGGAAACAGAGGCAGAGAAAAGGGAAGGATTTGCCCAAGGCCGGTGGCCAAGCCGGGAATAGAACCCAGGTGTCCTGGGTCCCAGGCTGCTGGTCTGTCTACTCGGCTACATGCCTCTGAACGTTTCCCTGATGCCCCGCGATGGTTTTTCTCACCTGCTGCAGCTCTCCCAGAGGAGCCCCAGCTCCAAATCTCCCACCATATAGAGGTGGGCGACAAGGCGACCGCCCGCTGTGACGTGACCAAGGTCTTCCCTGCCGCTGGAGAGGCCCGGTTCACCCTGTCCTTTGGGGGTGAGCGCCTGAACTTCACCGTCACCACGTCGAATGACACGGCCACAGCCCAGGGCGAGGTTCGGTCCCTGTCCGCAGGCGAGCGCCAGCTGACCTGCACCGTGTCCGTGGGGCCCGTGTCCAGATCCGCAGGGCAGAGCGTTCTCGTGTACAGTGAGTCTCTGGATTCTTCCCCCTGGGGTGTGGGCAGTGCTGGGGCTGATCCTGCAAAGAGCTGCGTGCTGGGCGGCCCTGGCCCGCCTCTGCCCCCTCTCTGCAGACGAGCCATGGCATCAGCCCCGTGCCCAGTTCCAAGGAAGGAGCAGAGCTGAGCTGCACCAAGCCAGGGCTCTGTTCTGGAGAGGGAAGCAGTCGCTCTCCCTGCCCGCTGTGCGCGGGACTTTTCCCTGGGCGTGTTCCCTGGTTAATCATAATTGCATTGGTTGCTAATTGATCCCGATGAATGAGCTGGGAGTAGCAGGGCTCTTGACCCAGAACCAGCGGGCTCCGTCTCTTGTAGGGACCCGCACGATGCCTGGCCCACACCCTCACACCGAGGGCAAAGCCAAGCCTTGGTGATTTTTATTAGAACCGCTGATAATGCCCACAAAGCTCCAACCCACACAACCAGCTGGGGTTCGCCCAGCCGTGGCAGTAGTACTGCCCCCCTTCCTGGAGGACCTGGTGGCGAGAGACGAAGGCCCAGCCCCGCCTCTGGCAAGCTGAATGAGTCCAATGGGCCAGGTTCCCAGCTCCCCTGCTAGACCCTACTCTCTCTCCTGGCGCTGGCCAGAGAACCCAGGAGTCCGGGTTTCCAGCCCCTGCTCACACCACACCAGCCTGGCGCTATAACCCAGGGCTCCCCAGACTAGTGGAAATGGGGTTTCTTTGCAGCGGTGACGTCAGTCACATGTTAAAAATCACCCTGATTATTTCACAGCAGCTTTGCCTCGGTCCCCTGCAGGTTTCCCTCAGCCTGTCCTGGAGATCGACCAGCCACGGGCCCTCGTGAACAGGAACGTGAGCCTCACGTGCTGCTCCCCTGCCTCCCAGCCCCCCGGCACTACGCTACAGCTCAGAGACTCCGAGCGAACCCTGGCGTCCGGGCACCAGCCCTGCCTGCAGCTCACGCTGACGGCCCGCAAGGGAGACAACGGGAGGCAGTTCACGTGCGAAGGGAACCTCGCCCTGGGCAGCCATTCCTTCGTAAAGAACACGTCCGCCCAGCTCATCGTCCTCTGTGAGTCGGGAGCGGTGCCGATTTGCGCACAGACCCCACCTCTTCTTCACCACGGGGGCTGGAGTGCCCGTGTTCCTGCCCCTGCACGTCCCGCGGTTACTGACACCAGGGCAAAGCCTGAGCGGGTGGCCTCTTACGCCCTCCTACCGGGGCCCCTGGGATGGTCACACTGGAGCATCTCAAAACCTTCAGTGCCTTTATCCTCGTGCACCCCTCTGAGGCAGGGCCATGCCATTATCCCCATGGGGTAGGTGGGGAAACTGAGGCACGGGAAGCCTGGCAGAGGAGAGAGTTGGGTCCCTAACCATTGTGCCATCCAGCCGCCTGGTTGTCTGCCCATCTCTGCTCTGTCTGACTGGCAGCCTCAGCAGCGGAACCCACGTTGCTGTCGCACCTCCCGGGCTTCCTTATAAACCCTCGTTAACAGAAATTAATAGGGACACAGAGAGAGATGCTGCCAGACAAACCCATTTGCACTCCCCATCGGCCAGTGAGGAGGGAGAGCCTGCACAGGTGTCTGATGATACAGAATGGAGTTGAGCGCGAGCCGAAGGAGGGGAGTCTATTGGTTGGAATGTGTGTGGGGGGTGGGACGGGGCTGGGAGTCAGGACTCCTGGGTTCTATGCTTAGTTCAAGGAGAGGATTGGGATCTGGTGGGTTAGAGGAAGGAGGCTGGGAGCCAGGATTCCTAGCCTATGTTCCCAGCTCTGCTATAGACACACTGCGTGGCCTTGGGCATGTCTCTTCCCCTCTCTGTGCCTCTGTGTCGACTGCAATCATTGAGCAGGCTTGTGCTTGGCACCTCATGCAGAAAGCCCCTGGCTGGAAGGTGGGAGCTATGGCACGAGGACTCGCAGCTGGGGTTATTATTGGCCACAACCCAGTAGCCTTGCAGTGTGCGAAGCCTTTGTCTCTGCGAAGCACTTAAGGGCGTGCCTAAAGCTTTAGCGTGTGAGCAGGTCCCATGGCCCAGGGCAGGTGCCGAGATGGGCGGACACTGACGTCCGTCCGTTTGGCACGGCACTTGAGCCCGTGCTTCACTTTCTCAGCACACACCGGCGGGACTGACGTGCTCAATGTTCGGCACGTGCTCCGGGGCTGTGCTGTGTGGGGGCTGCAGTCCGAGTCCCAGAGCTCCCACCAGGAGACCTCTCGCCCCTCCACGCACCCATTGCCCTGCCGCTGGGGCCCTCGGGATGCAAAAAGTCCAGTGACCCAGGTCATTGATCCTCCTGCCACCCTGGGAGAGAGCAGAGTGTGATGGGCAACGACTTGAGTTCTGTCTCTCTGCACTTTTGGATGAGCCCGAAATGGATGAGTCTAGTGCCCGAGTCCCCGGACGTGGCTCGAGGGGACGCTGCGAACCCTGATCTTCAGGGCTGGCGGGAGCCCAGCCCGAGCTGTGGTGTGCGAATGGGACATGGGGCCTTTCCCCTGCAGGGGACGCCGGCCCCGCGTCGAGAGGGGAGTGGACAGATCAGGGCGTTCAGACGGAGCGAAGGCGTCATGCTCATCAATCCTTCCCACGCCAGCCTTACTCTTCTCTCTCTTCCAGACAAGCCTACGCTGGACGAGTCCGGCTGCCCAAGTCACCAGACGTGGCTCGAGGGGACCCAGCAGCAGCTGGCCTGTGAAGCCGACGGAAACCCGACGCCGGAGGTCTCCTGCCGCAAGGACAGCCAGGTGTACGATGCCGGCAGCGTGCAGAACGTCACGAGAGGCCACGCGGGGGTCTATCGCTGCAGTGCAACCAATGTGCACGGGACGGCCGGCAGGAACGTGACAATCCATGTCGAATGTAAGGGCAGGGATCGCAGCCTATGGGGGCCCTGGGGAGCTGATGGCCCCACGCAGCTGGGCTCCCCAGTGTCGGGTGCTCGTGGCTTCCAGTGCCTGGCTAGAAGTGACGCAGTCCCAGCAAACGCAAGACTGGTCAGACGAAGGGGGAGTGTGTGATTGCCAAGATTCCCCTTTGCTTGGGGGACTGGCTGGCTTGGGGTATGGAGAATGGGGGATGCGGCCTTTCCCCTCCAGGGGGTGCCGGCCCCAACCCACCCCAGGACATGGCTCAGGACAGGGAATGGGACAAGGGGCCTTTCCCCCCCTAGGGGGTCCATCTCCAATCTGGCCCCAGGTGGAGAGGAGGAGTTCTCCTCCTCTATCGTCCCCAGACTGATAGCGACTGAAGAGTATCCCCCTCCGACAGTTTCTCCCTGGGCCCTGCATGAGGTGAGTTTGCCCCCACCCCACCCCCCAGGCAGTAACCTTGTCAGAGGGGCCAAGTTCTGAATGGGCCCCTGTGACGAAGTGGGACTGTTCCTAATGTTTCCTCTGAATAGTGTGGGGATGCCTCAGTTTCCCCTAGGCAGTTCTTAAGTCTCTAGGGGGTGGAGTAAGGGTGTATGATCATTGCAGAGCCCTAGAGGGCAGGTGTGTGCAGGGGTCTGGACACAGACAATGGCCGACACCCTGTTTCCTGGCAACTGATGGCCTGGGCCCTTCCCCCCCTGCAAGGTGAGAGCTAAAGGGTTGGAGAACAAAGGAATCCGGTGACCTCCTGGCCCGGGAAAGGGACAAAGCCCAGAGGAGGAGGGGCTGGGGGGAGTTTCAGTTTGGGGCTGGCTGGAAACATGGAGTGAAGGGCAGACAGGGTTGTCTGGCTCACTGCCCCCCCCCAAAATGGACCCAGCTGAGGGGTTCTGTTCTCTGTACCTACAAGCTCTGGTTTAGACCATGTTCCTGTCGTCTAATAAACCTTCTGTTTTACCGACTGGCTGAGAGTCCTGTCTAACTGCGGAGTTGGGGGGCAGGACCCTCTGGCTTCCCCAGGACCCCACCTGGGCGGACTCGCTGTGGGAAGCGCACGGAGGGGCAGAGGAGGCTGAATGCTCCGAGGTCAGACCCGGGGAGGTGGAAGCCGGGTGAGCTGTGTGTCCTGCAGACAGGCTGCTCATAGGAAGGCGACTGCCCCAGAGTCCTGCCTGGCTTCATGGGGAGCAGCTCCAGAGCATCGCCCGGGGACGCCGTGACAGCCCCCGAGTCCCAGCCCCCTCCGGAGCGGGGCGGGGCCAAAGCGCGTGGCAGGGGAACCAGCCCTGCTCTCGTGCCGTAGCTTCCCCTTTAAAAACGGGTCCTGGTTCCGTCTCTTCCAGATGGGCCTGAAATGGACAATGCCGGCTGTGCCAGGACCCAGACCTGGGTGGAGGAGACGGAGCAAAGCTTGGCCTGCCTGGCGTGGGGGAACCCGGCCCCGGCGGTGGTGTGCACAAAGGACGGGGCACCCTACGGCGTGGGGGTGCAGCGTCGGGTGGCGAGAGAGCACGCTGGGACTTACCACTGCACTGCCGCCAACACCCATGGCTCAGCCCACCGGGAGGTGACCGTCCGGGTGGAATGTAAGTCAGCAAAGACTGGATCCCTGCAGAGCCCGGGAGGGCCCCAGCTATGCCCGAGTTAGTCACTTGCCCTAGACCCCCCTGCCCCGTCCTAACCCCTGGTCTTGTTCTGCCGTGGGTGGAGCAGTCGGCTGAGTTAAACCCATGCCCTGCAGCTGGTCTCAGTCGGTTGGTTGGTTGGATGGAAGCTCCCGATCAGGGGCCCCGTTGTGCCGGGCGGGCGCTGCCCAGACCCCGACCGAGATCTCATGGGGATCAGGAGGGAACTGTCCCTCGGGGAAGGTTAGCCCTTCGCTGCCTCCTCAGGGTGTCCTGCACTTCCCTTTGAAGCAGCTGGGGCTGGGCCCCGTTGGAGACGGGACACCGGGTCAGACGGGCCCCTGGGCTGAGCCAGTCTGGCAGCGCCTCTGTTCAGTGGAGCTGAGAACCAGGCTCCCGTCGTCCTCCAGGGCCATGCGAAGAAGGGAAAAGTACAAGCGCGCAAAACTCATTAGGAAAGAGACAGTGACCTTTGACACAGCGCCCGGCGAGCAGGACTGAGCAGCAGCCGAAGCAGCCCAGCCAGGAGGACGTATAAATACAGCGTGCCCAGGGCAAACACCTCGTCAGCAGCAGAGGTTAATTAGGCAGCTAAGGAATGTCTGAAATGTGACACAGTTTGGGACTGTGCTGAAAACCCAGCTCGGCTGGAGTCAGAGAAAGGGACTGACTAAGCTGGGGGGAGAGGTAGATACGCCGGAGGGGACGGATGGGGTCCAGAGTGACCTAGGGAAATTAGAGGATTGGGCCAAAAGAAATCTGATGAGGTTCAACAAGGACAAGTGCAGAGTCCTGCACTTAGGACAGAAGAATCCCATGCACTGCTACAGACTAGGGACCGAATGGCTCGGCAACAGTCTGTAAGGACCTAGGGGTTACAGTGGACAAGAAGCTGGATATGAGTCAACAGTGTGCCCTTGTTACCAAGAAGGCCAATGGCATTTTGGGCTGTATAAGTAGGGGCATTGCCAGCAGATAGAGGGACGTGATCGTCCCCCTCTATTCGACATTGGTGAGGCCTCATCTGGAGTACTGTGTCCAGTTTTGGGCCCCACACTACAAGAAGGATGTGGAAAAATTGGAAAGAGTCCAGCGGAGGGCAACACAAATGGTTAGGGGTCTGGAACACATGACTTATGAGGAGAGGCTGAGGGAACTGGGGATGTTTAGACTTCAGAAGAGAAGAATGAGGGGGGATTTGATAGCTGCTTTCAACTACCTGAAGGGGGTTCCAAAGAGGATGGATCTAGACTATTCTCAGTGGTGGCAGATGACAGAACAAGGAGTAATGGTCTCAAATTGCAGTGGGGGAGGTCTAGGTTGGATATTAGGAAAAACTTTTCACTAGGAGGGTGGTGAAACACTGGAATGCGTTACCTAGGGAGGTGGTGGAATCTCCTTCCTTAGAAGTTTTTAAGCTCAGGCTTGACAAAGCCCTGGCTGGGATGATTTAGGTGGGGATTGGTCCTGCTTTGAGCAGGGGGTTGGACTAGATACCTCCTGAGGTCCCTTCCAACCCTGATCTTCTATGACTAGGGACTGGCGCTGCAGATGCCCTCGGGAAGTAGGGGTCTGAGTGTGAGATGCTGTAAATGGGCAAGCACGGAAACCGGCTGGTCACGCTTGTCATAGGCTGTCAGGGTCGGTTCTCGCACACCGGGTAACATCCGTGCCTTTCTGCTGTGCACCACGCTCCTAATTAATTCATCAATCCCAGTCCAGCTTGGGGATCAGAGGTTTCTCTCCGTGACTCCAGACCCCGAACCTAACCTCCGGCCCATCTGCCTTCCAGATAAGCCATCAATGGACGAGCTCAGCTGCCCAAGTGCCTGGACCTGGGTCAAGGGGATGCCGCAGGCGTTCTCCTGTGACGCCGATGGCATCCCAGCCCCAGAGGTCGTGTGCACCAAGGACGGGGTCTCGTACCGCCTGGGCCAGGGGCTGGGCCTCAAGGACCCCATGGGCACCTACCAGTGCAACGCCACAAATCCTCACGGCTCGGCTACGAAGACGGTCACCATCACCCTCGAATGTGAGTTTACAGCCTGGCAGGCAGAACTGCCCTCGCGGGCCAGGCTGGTGCCTGCATCAACCCCCATCCCTGGCCCAGTCCCACCCCTGCCCCCCAACCTCCACCCAGGGCTGGGCCGGTCTCCATTGGCACCCTCCCTGGCTGGTCTGTGGGTTACTGTACCGGGGCCCTGCCCACGGGCTCCGGGGCGGTTTGCGAGGGGTTTCTCTTTGCACTTTCCCAGCACGTACACAACAGCGCAGCCCGTGCGCGCAGTGAATTCCAGCTCTGCCCCGGCCCTCCCGGCAGCCACGTACAATTGTCCGCTTGCCTCATCCAGCAGGTGCTTGTGTCACGGACTCCCAGGACTGGGAGGAACCCCCTTCGGTGTGACTGCCCTTCTCGGGGGGCCACCTCTCTCGGGGTTAAGCCATAGGCCTCTCCGCCTCCTGGAGCCGCACCTCTCGGAGCCTCAGCCCGCCTATCTCTGCCGTGGGACCCCTCAGGGAGTCCCCTCGCTCTGGACCCCCGGGGCCTCCGCTCCCAGAGGGAATAATGCCCCCACCCCCCTGTTCTCTAGACCAGAGCGACGCTCAGCCAGGGTAACACAGGAGGGTTTATTGAGCGTTGAATCCAGCACAGGAAACTCTCCGGGCCTCAGGCCTGGCACCCCTCAACACAGCACATCCCAGTCTCCCCTGCACCCAGGGGGGCTCTGCCTGCCCCCTCTCTCCAGCCCCAAGCCCCCCTGCTTCCCAGCTGGGTATCTGATGTCATCGGCCTCAAGCCCCCCCTCTGTCCATTGTCTTCTCTCCAGGTGAACAGGGTCGCCTGGGCCCCCTCTCCCCTCTTCTGTCCTCTGGCTGGGACCGGCTGGTCAGGTCACCGGGGTCCTCTCCCCGCAGCCCATTGTCCCCCCACTGGCCAGACCCGGCTGGGACTCCTGAGCTGGGCCTCCCGGTCACCTGTCAATGGGGTCTCCATTCGCCAGGCCAGTCGCTGGCCCTGTGTCCCCACAAACCCCCTCTCCCACCACCTCGTAAAACCAGTAATCCCCAGGGAAATTGAGTCCCACCCCCTCTGCCTGCAAACCATTGAAAACAACGAGAAACCCCCCCGCTCCCTCAGAGCTCGTCTGCGGCCCTGAGAGCAGAGAGGCCTGGGGCCCCTCTGTTACAACAGCCGTTGTGTCGGGGAGCTCGGCTCTGAGGGCGAGGCGCTGCCCCAGAGACAGTGTCTCTTTCGGCTGCCGCGTAGCCGCTCCCCGGTTACCCTGCCCCTGCCTGGACTAGGAACCTGGCGGACGAAAAGGTGGCCCAGCAGAAGCGCTCGGCCGGGGTTCACCTAACAGAAAACGGAGCCGCGGGCTGGGGGAGCCGCGGGGCTTCTTTGAGGTACTGAATAGTGGGCCCTTGTTCTCTGCCTTCCAGACAAGCCCACCATGGACGAGTCCAGCTGCCCCAGTACCCGGGCGTGGCTGGAGGGGACCCTGCACACCCTGGCCTGTGAGGCGGACGGGATCCCTGTCCCCCGCGTCCCATGCGCCAAGGAGGGAGCAGCTGACGAGTTTAGCGGCGAGCGGAACGTGAGCCGGAATGACTCTGGCACCTACTGGTGCACGGCCATCAACCGCCACGGGTCGGCGAGGAGGGCGGTCACCGTGCGGGTGGAATGTGAGTCCCGATCGTGCGCCAGCGTGGCACAAGACTGCCCGGGCCTGGCTCGCCCTACATGTGACCCTCAGGCTGCGCGGTCAGCATAGGGGGTGGGAACGGCTCCCTGAGAATCCCCCTCCCGGACAGGTGCCCAGCTGGCATAAAGACCCTGCTCCCAGCCCCTGGCATATGGCATTGGGGCAGGTCTCTGGCCTGTGCTCCGCAGGAGGTCAGACTAGGTGATCCTGTCTGGCCTTGGAATCTGTGAATCTGGCGCGTGGCTGGAGCACACGGCCGTGCAGTATCTGCTGCTCCCCAGGGGCCACAGGGTGCAGAGTGTGAGTTAGAGCAGCCCCAAGGCTGCTCTGATTCACCCTGTGGGCTGGTCGAGAGCCCTGCATGACCCCAGAAGACAGGCAGCACAAACGGCTCCTGTTGCTATTGCCACACCATTACGGCAGAGCCTACGGGCCCCAGCCATGGAGCAGGACCCCTGTGTGCAGGGAGCTGTACATTATTTGTTAGGTGAATTACGCCAGGGCCCCATGGCAATAGGGGCTGCACAGACACGGAATGGAGTAACAGCCCCTGCCCCAGCGAGCTCAGTCTCAGCCAGTCCCTGCCAGAAGCGCGGGAATGGAGCAGCTGGGACTCCGGCCCAGTGCGTGCAAAGTGCAGCTGCTCTGATTTTGGGCTGGTCCAAGCACAGCAGGGGGAAGCTGACCCTGGACATTCCTAGACGAGCCAGCCTCCGCACCGCACCGGAAATCACTGACCGCGAAAGAAAGTTCAGAGTCTCGTGTACTTGCCGCTGCTGGCTCCATTTACTGGCCCCCTCCCGATTCCCCTGCGCCGGGCCTGGCTCGCGAACACTAGCCGGGGGGTCGGGCCCGGCTGCAAAGTGCTGAGCTCCTCGCTGCCCGGGGCAAGGCAGGAGGGCGAGCGCCACCGGGACGCTCCCAAGACGGCGCGATTGCGGCCGATTCCCCTCCCGCTCGCCCGGCGTCCGTCACACCAGCTCCGCCCGAAATGCTTCTCAAAGAGAGAGCTAAAACCAATCACAGCCAGAGGGAGAACCCAGCGGGCCGGGGAGACGCGAGCTGGGGTCTGGGGCGGAGGAGCTGGGGGGGGCGCTGGGTTATCAGTCGCCGCGCCAGCGCTGTACAAATGGCCGCAGGGCCCCGGAGCCGGTGTCTGAAGGCTGCTCCCCACTGCAGCTCTCGGAGCTCCAGCCGGAGCCGCAGCGTCTACACGGCCGTTTCTGGGGCCGCAGCACGAGCCCGTCCCTAGCCCCGTAGACGTTCCCTGGGCCCCGGCTGGGCGCTGCACGCGGCCAGAGGCCATTTCACCTGCCAGCCAGTGGGGCCTGTTCTGCCTCCCTCAGCGAGGTCACGGGGCCCGTCCCCGGGATTTCCGCCCGGGACGCGCCTGGCAGCTGGGACCGGCTCCCCACGCAGGGTTCTGTCTGAGCAGCAAAGCACGGTACGCTCCTTGCTGCCGGTCAGGCGTTTCCTCCCCCTCGAACCCGTGCGGCTCTCACCTGTGCTGGTGCCGCTCTTCCCACTTCCCTCACCAAGCCAGAACCGGCCACAGCGTTCCCGGCTCGGTCTCGCCGGGTAAAATCGCCTCCCTGCGCCTGTTTGCACAGCCGAGGGGCCATCAGCCCTGACCGTCACAGCATCGCACCGGGCGCTCCTGGCCAGCTGCTCAGCCAGTGTTAGCCCCATTTTATGGCTGGGGAAAATTGAGGCAAATTGGGTGACAGGTCCAAGCTCACGTGGGGCGTCTGTGGCAGAGCCAGGGTTTGACCCCAGGGGTCTGCCCTGCTGCTGAACACAGGGAGGCTTTACCAGAGCTCAGAGGAGAAAGCTCCTGCTCACAGATGGAGAAATGGCGGTGGGGGGGGGGTCCGGGGCTGGCTGAGCAAAGGGAGCCAAGAGAGAGGTAGGATGGCGCAGTGGTTAGTGCACTAACCTGGGACTCGGGAGACCTCAGTGCCATCCTTGCACGGCCTAGGGCATCTCTCGGTGCCCCACTGTAGAATGGGGGGGGTGCTCCCCCACGGCACGGGGCGGTGTGTGGGTGAGCAGGGGCCGCAGAGGGACCCGGGGCCACATGGCTGCTCAGTGTGTGACCTTTCTCTCTCCAGACAGGCCCGTCGTCTTGCTCCTGGCTGTCAGCCCTTCTGCCACCGTCCCACGCGGCGCCAACTTCAACATTAGCTGCCGTGCCGAGGGCTCCCCGGCGCCCGCCTACCGCTGGACCGTGCCCCCCGCCCCCAATGTCCACTGCTCGGCCGATAACAGCACCGTGAGCGTGGCCGGCGCCGACAGGCACAACCGCGGCGTGTACGTCTGCAGGGTCTCCAACGCCCACGGGCAGCACCTGGGCCGGCTCCAAATCCAGGTGACAGGTAGGGACCGGAGGGCGAGGACGCCAGGGAAGGGCAAAGTGAGTGTGTGTGGGGGGGACAGACCCCCTCTGGGGTTCCTCAGTGTTCTGTGGCAGCCCTGGGGGGCCACGTTCCCTGCCGCGCGGTGGGCGAGGAGGCAGGACCTGGGGCGAGTCTCTGCTGGCTTTGTAACAGAAGCTGCCTGGCAGGGGGGGTCTGGGGGTCTGTGCGGGGACCCAGACAACCTGCCGTCTATTCCCAGCTCCACTACTGGCCTGCTGAGCAACCCTGGGCAAGCTGCAGCCCCACTCTGTGCCTCAGTTTCCCTTCCCCACCTCTGCCCTGCCGTGTGACCTTGGGCATGTCCCTTCCCTGCTTGATGCCTCTGTCTAGCCTGGAAGCTCTCTGGGGCAGGGACTGTCTTTCCGCCTGGAGCCTAAGCTGCGTGTCCCTCCCCCCCGCCAGATAACAGACTCATTGTTGCCGCCCTGACCGTGGGGGTGGCCGTCCTGCTGCTGGGTGGGACGGCCGGGCTCGTCTATTACCTCAAATCCACCGCCTGCAAGAAGGGGGAATACAACGTGCAGGACGCCGAGAGCTCCTCCAAAGCCACCTGCCTCGGCCGCGACAGTGCCGTCTACGGGATACAGCTCATGCAGACCTGAGCCGGCCGGCGGCTGGAGCCGCGAGCGCAGGGGCTGCTGGAGGGGAACCCGACGGTGCGTCCCTGCGGCCGGGGCGCTGGCCGGACCGGCTGGTTTGTTTGTTTGTTGTTGCATCCGTCCTCGGGCCACTTCAGAAGCTCCTGCCAAACTGTGTTCTCTGGCCAGCCCCGGCCTGTCTCCATACAGCCACCTCCGCGGGCAGCTCCTGTCCCTGGGCTTCCTGGCTCGGATCTGCTCCTGCCTTTTCCCTTCCCCAGCCCCACCCTGGAACTTCCGGTTTGTCTCCGCTCCAGAAAGCTGGTGTCTTGCCTTAAATATCCGTTCTCCGGCTTTGGGAAATGGGTCATGAGCTGGCCCAGGCCCAGCAATGATTGTACTGAAGCACGCGGGGTCAGGGGTGTTGCCTAATCCAGCACCTGGCTGGACGGCGTTTGCAGGGGAGAATGGGTACGTGGCCCACTGGGATCTGAACGTCTAGGTCCCAGTTTCCCACCTGGGGGGAGGCAGGAGCCACCAAACACAATCGGGCCTGCGGGGAAACAAATGTGCTGGGTCTCTGTCCCCCGGCTAGCAGGAATGGGCCAGTCTGTCCTCAGGTATAAGAACATACGACCGGCCAGACTGGTCAGAGCAAGGGTCCATCCAGCCCAGTGTCCTGTCTGCTGACAGTGGCCAGTGCCAGGGGCACCCGAGGGAATGACGAGAACAGGGAATCGCCCAGTGATCCATCGCCTGTCGCCCATTCCCAGCTTCTGGCAAACAGAGGCTAGAAACTCCGTCCCTGCCCATCCTGGCTGATAGCCATTGATGGACCTGTCCTCCAGGAACTTTTCTAGTTCTTTTTGGAACAGACAGAACAGCTGGGACCAGCATGGTTCATGTGTCTTGCCAGGAACTGTGCTGAGACCCAGCAAACTCGTTTCATCGCAGGCCACTAAGTTTATGGTCTGAGCGCCCCATTACCCCTGTCAGTCAGCGTTCGGGTGCAGATCACCCAGGCTGCTCCTGCTCCCGGGTTACTACAGCCACAGCCTGTTAAACTTCCCTTCCTGTTGTCACGGAGTCCCCGGGTGATGCTCTGGAACTGAAGCCAGGCAGGAGTCTGGGGAAGTCTCCTCTCGGGGAGCAGCCTGTCTGCAGGACACACAGTTCACCCGGCTTCCCCCTTCCTGGGTCTGACCTCGGAGCATTCAGCCTCCTCTGCCCCTCCGTGCGCTTCCCACAGCGAGTCCACCCAGGCGGGGTCCTGGGGAAGCCAGAGGGTCCTGCCCCCCAACTCCGCAGTCAGACGTGACTCTCAGCCAGCCAGTAAAACAGGTGGTTTATTAGATGACAGGAACATGGTCTAACACAGAGCTTGTAGGTGCAGAGAACAGGACCCCTCAGCCAGGTCCATTTTGGGGGGCAGTGAGCCAGACCACCCCGTCTGCCCTTCACTCCATGTCCCCAGCCAGGCCCAAACTGAAACTCCCTCCAGCCCCTCTTCCTCTGGGCTTTGTCCCTTTCCTGGGCCAGGAGGTCACCCGATTCCTTTGTTCTCCAACCCTTCAGCTCTCACCTTGCAGGGGGGAAGGGCCCAGGCCATCAGTGGCCAGGAAACAGGGTGTCGGCCATTCTCTGTGTCCAGACCCCTGCACACACCTGCTCTCTAGGGCTCTGCAACGATCATACACCCTTACCCCACCCCCTAGATACTTAAGAACTGCCTAGGGGAAACTGAGGCACCCCCACACTATTCAGAGGAAACATTAAGAACAGTCCCGCTTCATCACACCTCTCTGAGACAGCCAGGAGACCCCCCCCCCCCGACATCTGCCCCCAGCTCGCAGAGGTTAGTGAATTCTAGCACTTGGCTGGCTTGCTCTTTATGGGCCCTCGGGTGGTGGAAATCAGCCATAGCTTCACTGGAGCCAAGGGGGCTAGAGCCCCAGCTGGTGGAAATCAGCATCGCTCCATTGACCCAAACTCTGACTCCAGCATGAGTTGAGTTTGCCGGGTGGTGCTGTCACTCACGCCAACGTCCTGGCCCGTCGAGCTGTCCTTTAGAGGCAAAGTAACGCCCCAGCACGTTTTGTATGATGGTTGTGGGGCAGAATTAAAACAGCAACACCCCCCCGGCCCGGCCACCCACATCTCCCACTTCCAAGGGCAGGATGCCAAAGGAAACCTGCAATGGCCAGAAAAAAAGTCTGCATCCGCAGGCTTTGCGCAGGATCGTACCAGAACAGCCGCTGTGGATGTCGGTCTCGTTGTGCTTCTCTCCAGGCAGTGTTAATTACCAGCACAGACTTTGTTCTCTAGCAACTGACAAATTTAGCACATCGGCGACAGCCCCACGGCTGAGCTGCAGAGAAAAGCCGCTCCCCCTCGGCACACGCCTGGCAGGAGACACGCGAAGCAGGTGGGAAAAGCAGCTTGTAGGGTAGCGGGCTGCAGGATGCCACGCTGCCGGCCTCGGGGGCTGTGGGACTTAATGTTGCTGCGCGCTCAGCAAAGCCGTGTGGTGGTCTGGCCAATCGGCTAGGTACTGCAAGCCGACGAGCGCGGGCCAGACCCGCCGCTGGCACCAGTCAGCATCACGAATGGGTTACGGTGGGATCCCCAGTCACAGCCCAAGGCCCTATTGTGCAAGGCGCTGCACGTTATTTATCAGGGGTGTTGTGATACCGTCGCTCCTGTGCCAGGACACCCCGCACTACGTGCTGCACAGACATGGACCTGCCGCGTTAAATCCTGGCGCCATGCCGCTTTACGCCGGCGGACGATCTGGCCCGTAAACATAACCAGCCTCTCGGCCCTTCAAACGCTTGTGATTGTCTTTCACTTTCGAGGCAGGTTTTATCGGTTTTTCGAGACCCCGGGGCTCGTTTTTCATCCTGTTACATGAGCGGAATGTCTGAGTTTATTTTTTGGACTGGCCAGAGCAGCTCAGACCGGGGGGGTCCATCCAGCCTGTCCTGGCTCAGCTCACCCAGGCTGTGGGATTCCCAGGAGGGGCCAGCGATGGGCTATTCTGCTACTGGCAAATTCTCTCCCTGCCCACCCTGGGTTCGAGGAACCCCAGCTTCCCTGCTGAGGATGTTTCCGCTGGAGCATTCAGCGGGGCCGGCTCCCAGCCAAGCCTGGTGTTGGAGCTGCAGACAGCCAGGCTGGTCTCATCACCAGCTGGGCTCCTGGGCTAAGGAGCGTGGTGCTGACCTGACCTGGAGCTAACCCGCCGCGTTCGCCAGGGAGCCACTTCCGGGGACATTTCCAGCAGCAGGTGGCCGGAGACGCAGCAGCAGATCTGACTCTGGTTCAAACCCACGTTGCACCTGCCGTGCATGTGAAGCAGCGAGGGGAAGGAGAATGCAGGGAGCTTGAAGCCGCCTTTGCACTCCCTGTTTTCCACCCCCCCCCCCGCCCCTTGGTGTAAGTGACACCCTGCTTCCCATGCCTACCTGCCACGCTGAGAATCGCTGTGGGGCCCACGCTGCTACGGCCATACGCTCCGTCTGTCCCCGCCACCAGGGGCAGGCACGGGGTCGAGCCCTTCTGCTATCTCTGCACCTGCCGGGGCCCCCCTGCCCCACAGGGGATTGCTAAAGGGCTGCTTCCGCCCCCCTCCCCCCCCCGTAAGGCCCCTTTGTGCGGTGGCCTGCGCATCCCCGAGAATCAGGCTGTGGGTCATCTGAGCTTCCCCTCCCACAGAGGGTTTACACAGGCCTAGAGATCCCTGTCCAACCGCAAGCGACAACTGGAATGTAAATAACGAAGGGGTTCGGCGGGGGCGAGTTTCGGCCATGAAAATGGGCCCTTCTCTGAGTGCAGCTGGCCCAGCTGCGAACTTTTCAAGGGGCTCATTTCACTGGTGGAGAAGCCGGCACTTCGCACAGCTCCACTGGGTAAAAGGGCTGTTTTCAAGTCGAGTTTTTAGCTGCTTTTGTATGGTTTTGTCTAGCGCCCCCACAGCACCAGCTTCAGGAGCGGGCCTGCGTCACGGCAAGCCGGCAGGCTCCCTGCACTGTAATTAATGTTCAGCGAGGACTTCGTGTCCCCCGCCCCTGCACGTGCAATATGGAGTGAGAGGTTTCCTTCCCGCGCAGGACGACAGCCCCCCGCGCGCTCCCTGCGGTGCTGGCCTCAGCTTGGGAATGGTTTTAAAACGTGTTTCCCCGAGGGATAAGAAAGGGCAAGGCTGTAAAGCTGGGTTTAAAAAAAAAGGGCAAAAAAAGGGTTGATAATAGTTCCATAATGCCCCCCCTGCTGTGCCCGAGTGCTCACAGCGTGGCAGAAATGAGTCGTTCGGCGCTCCTCCACTATGGATCAAAAGCCCCAGTGAACTCCCCCGGTGGCACTCCACGGTGGCTGTCATACCCGAGGGCTATACAGACTTTGCTACAAGGTAAATATCAATAGCCACGTGCTCAGATATTCATTCTGTTAGCTAAGGTTGCAGCGTGTTTAATTTTATGAACTAAAATGGCACATAAACGACAGGAAACCAGGAGCTCCGTGGGCGTCACAGCAGGGGGGCGAGAGTGACAGTGAGCGACGGTAGTTTCTGTTTGAGAGGTTGGATGTGGACTTGCCCTTGTCTTCGCTAGGCGCCTCTGCACTTTTGGGGCAGCGTTAAGAAGCCGTGGAGGCCCAGTGCTCTCCCTGGGGCGAGTTTCCGTGCCAGTTATCGAGTAGATGGAACACTGGCCTCTTCCCCCTGGCCCCAGCCGCCATGCTGACGTCAGGGTTTTATTGCTGAGGGCACGGCCAGCAAGTCGTCCTGCCTCTCCAGAATGGGCAGCTGGGTAACGGGTGAAATTTTGGAGCATCAGACTTGCCTGAGCGCCTGAGGCCGTCTCTCGCCCCGAGGGCAGCTGGGCTGGTTGGAGATGCAGCCTATACCAATGAAAGGGGTTTGGCCCCCGGCACAGGAACACCCGTCCCCACGCACGGGTAGTGAGGCCGGCGGAAGCCTTCGGCCACCCCCGGAGTTCTGTCTACACCAAGCGTCAGGGGGCAGAGCTCCATGGCTTTCTTCACACCCCAACCGCCGTAGTTCTGGGCAAGTCTCCGCTCGTGGGCCACGGCTCTGGGGCCGCCGCTATTGTGCCGTAGCACGGGCATTTCCTACCCCCCGGAGAGGGGTTTCCAGCACCGTGGTTCATCCACCTTGCTGAGGGGCTGGAGCTGGGGCGAGGGAACGATTCTTCCATCGCCCCAGCTGCAGTTACAGGGTGTGTGCGTGCGTGTGGGGTGTGTGTGTGTGTGTGTGTGGGGTTTAGCTGGTCTCAAAACACAACGTTTTTCCCAGCCCTCGGCCGTGCAGCGAGGTCAAGGTCAGCGTCAACCAGGCCTCAGTGCCTGAGGGCTTGGCTACCCCCAGCCGCTGTCGCACTTTAACAGTACCTGTCTCCTTAAAGCAGCCCGCGCCGCCCGGCCTGGGGAGTGGCTTACGCCAGCGTAAAGGCGTTTATACCAGGACAGCTCTGCCGAGGACGGGGACCAAGCCCGACTGGTAGAACAGGGCCACGCTCATTGATAGATCTAATGTTGGCCAAAAATCACACACGCCACCCTGCTGAGACAGTTCTGTTGCTACGGAAACTGCACGGAGCAGCCCGTAGGAGCGCACGTCTCGTGGGCGCGCACGTCGGCCTGTGCCCCTAGGGCCCCGGGACGAGTCCAGCTCCACCCGCGGGGAGAGCTGGACCCGGGCAATGACCCACAAAGCACGTGCTTAAATTTTCAGTACGTAGTCAAAGGGACGTGCATACACGAGGGCGGCAGCATTGCCTAATGGATGGAGCAGGGGCCTGGGAGTCGGGGTTCCTGGGCTCTGACGCTGGCCTGCAGGGTGCCCTTGCTGTGCCTCGGTTTCCCACCTGTAAAATGAGGCTAATGCCGTTGCCCTCCTGTGCAAAGTGCTCTGGGGAGGAGACGTGCTAATTGCGCTTTGCTGCATCACCGGCACAAGTGGCATCTGTCGGCCTCCTCGTGTGCTGACTGTTAAGTACGGGGCGGGGCGGGGCAGGGGGCGGCACGGGGAGTGGAAGCTCCCTGCAAATAGGAGGGGGAGCTACTGAGACTGGCCAGGGGGCCAGCAGCCCAGGGCTGGGAAGGAGCTTTCCAGTTGCTCCTAAAGCTGCTCCTGTGTCCGTTCCTCTACGGGTGGTGCCCAGAGCCCTGCTCTCCCCCCACTGGCAGTAGCAGGTGCCCTGGGCACTGCTGACCCCCCACCCCATCCTGGTGGTGGACACAGGCTCCTGCCCCTCCCGCACTGGACAGTGGGCCAGAGAGTCCCATCTGCTCCCCCACGGCTGGATCCATCTCAGGGGCTGCTCGAGCCTGTCCGCTACACCCCCTCTTCCAGCTCCCCGCCTCCAGTCGCTCCCACTCGCCTCGGAGCTCGCAGTCTCCTGCTTCCGGGACCATGTGATCCTTCTGCCTGTTGGCCCGGGAAACATTCCTGTGTTTTGCTCTGGGCAGAGCCAAATAAAAAACGGTTGCATTTTAACAAGTGCCAGCCCCCGGCCCGGCAGGGCCTGCACCCAAGCCAGCAATGCACCAAATCGATTCCCCACAGCCTGGGCTAGAAAGCTGGAATGCCCTGACTCCAGGACCCCGTCTCCCGCCCCACCGTCTCCGAGCCCTGCAGCCTTCACTGTGTTTAACCTCACAATGCCCCAAGAAATGTGAACCCCACTGTAGAGATGGGAAACAGGCACAGAGAGGCTGGCCAAGGCGAAGCACTCTGTGTCAGCACCAAAGTCGGGCCAATGCAAGATATTCCCTCCCCTGCCTTGTCCCTCTGACTTGGCCCAGGTCATGGCACAACAGGGAATTGAACCCAACGGCTGCACTGGGAGTTTGGTTCCACGGCTAATCGGGCCGTTTGCGTTCATCCATTTGCAGGCTGATTCTCTTTTAAAGAGAACCTGCTCTTAAAAATCCCCAATGGCGGAGATTCCACAGCCTCCCTGGGCAATTTATTCCAGAGCTTCACCGATAATGGTGGGTGCTGGGCCCTTGTCAATCTGGTCCTGAGCTCTGCAAACTTTGGTCCTCAAGCACAGACTAGCCGAGCAGGATTATTATTATTTACTAGTTGGCTGCTAACAAGGTGTGCTCCCATACCATGACAACTGCCCTACAATATGGTAACGGACAGGCCAACCCACCGGGCACTGACCCAGGGACCCGCAGGACCAAAAGCATCAGCTACTAGAGCTTGACCTAAGGAATCAGGGCTCCCCTATCCCCTGCGGCTTGGGAGCAAGGGGGCCTGACCCGTGACACGCATTTGCCCGGGGGTTACACTGTGTTTATTATACAACATCACAACTCATCCCATAATAAATCCTGAAACC